GCACTACAAGAAAAAACAAAGAAATATTCAGGATATCTTTCAGTATTCATCCTTTTAGGATAAAGGGAAATAATACCAAATGAAAATTCAGATCTGTACAAGGAATGAAGAGCACCAGAAATGGTAAATTTGTAGGTTAAAATAACTTTCTTCTTACCTTAAATTATGTGAGAGACAATTGACTTGAAATTTTTAAAATGTAGGGTTTATAACAGAAGAAAAACTTATGATAATAGTATAAAGGAGGGGAATTGGGCAAAGGGAAGTATACTGTTGTAAGTTTCTTATATATGAAGTGGTAGACTAATAAGATTGAAATGTACATTGTAAGCTCTAGAACAATCGTTAAGAAAATTAAGCAAGGGATAACTAAATATAATTAAGATAAAATTGAATAGTACAGAAATACATGTTTTTTCCCCCAAGTTTTTATTTAAATTCCAGTTAGTTAACACACAATGTAATATTAGTTTCAGGTGTAGAATTTAGTGATTCAACACTTACATACAATACCCAGTGCTCATCCCAACAAGTTGCACTCCTTAATCCGCATCACCTATTCCACCCTTCCTCCCACCCACCTCCCCTCTGGTAACCATCAATTCTCTGTAGTTAAGAATCTGTTTCTTGGTTTTACTCACTCTCTTTTTTTTCCTCAAAAATACATGTTTAACCAACAGAAGTCAAGAAAGGAAGAATGAAATATTAATAAGACAAAAAAATAAAATGATAGACAAATTCAACTATATGAATGTTAATTAAATGTAAATGGATTAAACAATTAAAATGCAAAGATTATGTATCTGGATTTTTTTTTTAAAAAACCCACACATCTGAAAATTTAATTAAGAAAGCAATTCCATTTCTAATAGCATCAAAAATGGTGAAATACTTAGGAATAAATTGAACAAGAGAACTGCAAAAATTGTACTACAAATCATTGTTGAAAGATTAAAAAGGCCTCAATAAATGGAAAGATATTCTATGTCATGCATCATATGACTGACTATTATTAAAAATGGCAATATTCCCTAAATTGATCTATGGAAAGAATGCAATCCCCATCAGATTCTAGCTGGCATCTTTGCAGAAATGGACAAATTAATCCTAAAATTCATATGGAAATGCAAGGGATCCCAAATAGCCAAAGCAATCTTGAAAGAGAATAGTAAAGTTGGAGGATTTACACTTCCTGATTTCAAAACTTTATACAATGCTACAGTAATCAAAATGGCATGGTACTAGCATAAGGATAGATATAGAAATCAGTAGAACAGAGCTAAGAGTCAGACATAAATCCTCATATTTACAGTAAGTTTTCAACAGACATACCAAGACCATCCAATGGGGAAAGACTAGTCTTTTCAACAGATGCCATTGGGACAGCTAGATAGCCACATGCAAAAGAATGTATTGGGACACTTGCCTCACACCTTATGTTTTATAAGATTTAAAGATTCTTTTGATGGTGGGACACAATACAGTGACACTTGGATAGATGAAAAGCAAAACTCTTTGTTCCTTAGAACTCCAGATGAGAGAAAGCTGCCCTGTAGGCCACATAGGATTGCACCTGGGGACAAAGTACCCGCAAACTGGAGCTGTAGGGGCAGCTTAGTGGGGCAAGTGGGGTGGGGTTAGTTAGGTTTCATAGGCTCCCTTTAGATTGGCTAATTTGAATAATTCTGTGGGCTCTGGGGCATAGGGATTGTACCTGGTTGTCTGGTATCTATCTCTGGGTCAATTAGAGTGGGCACATAATGGCTAGAGAGTGTAAGGCTGACAAGAGAAATGGTTGGGATGTGGACTTTATCAGTTGCTCAAGAAGAACTAACCAGCCTCTAGCCCAGGGCCTCAGAACTGGGTCAAGATGGCATTTTACTACAAAGCTGTAGTACACCATATATAAAAATTAACTCAGAATGGGTCAAAGACCTAAATGTAAGAGCTAAAGCTATAAAACTCTTGGAAAAAACAGGCACAAGTTTTCATGACCTTGAATCGAGCAATGATTTCTTAGATATAACACCAAAAGCACAAGTAATAACACTGGGCTTCATCAGAATTAAAAAGTTTTGCATAAAGACAACTCACAGAATGGAAGAGAATATTTGCAAATCAAATATCTGATAAGGCACATATAACCAGAGTAGTCAAAGAACTACTACAGCGTGTCTTTATCCTTAATCTTTTGTCTGCTTGATGTATGAGAGACTGAGAACTATGCATGTTCGGTTTGCTTTCTATTTTTCAAGGTGGTACTATTAGGTACATGCAGAGTCAAGATTGTTTTGACATCTTGGTGGATTGTTCATTTTATTTTTGGATATATCTATTTTTATTTATTTAGCGTGTTTCGCCTTAAATTTTGAACACATGGTTGAACTGTCTCCAGATCTACTGATATCATGTGACCCACAGCTCCTACCTTAAATCGCATGGTTTCTGGCATGGCCAGCCCCCACACTAAGACTTGGGTATGGCCAGCTCTACTTTAAGAATCAATCTGGTCAGTCTCTACCCTAAACAAAGACACTCCTCTCAGGTTACATAGATTATCTCCCAGACATTGAAGCAAGACCTCTCTTCAGACAAAGCCAATTCTTTACTAATACACATATATTTAAATTTATAAGTTTATTTCAGGATTTGGAGGAACATGTGCTGAACTGAGGATAATAGTTCCCTCTGGAGAGAAAAGTGATAGTGGTGGTAGTAAATGGGTACTTAACTTTATCTGGATGATTAAATTTTCATGTACTGCATAATTTTTTAATTATTTTAAAATGAAAAGACTAAGACTAACTTTGGGAAAATGGAAAGAGAAGTTAACATTCAATAGAATGAAATTCATTAATTATATACAGATATGGAAAGATAAGCCATCAGGAGGAATTCTATTGTTATGAGAGTAGACCAATTATTTCAAGATACATGAAGTAACCATGATCATAGTCTGGGCATGACTTTGATATAGCTATCAAGTTTAAAATGAAACATTGTCAGGAATGTACAAATAGGATGTATACTATTTGAAGAAATCATCATTTATATATAGTAACATCTAGTATCCTTATCAGTTGTTTGTCAAGTTTTAGAATTTAGTTTATAATCCTTGGCTCATTAAAAATCAGATTGTATAAATATGAACATTTGTTTTTGTTTTTTTCAAAGATTTTATTCATTTATTTGACAGAGACACAGTGAGAGAGGGAACACAAGCAGGGGGAGTGGGAGAGGGAGAAGCAACTTCCCACTGAGCAGGGAGCCCAATGCAGGGCTCGATCCCAGGACCCTGGGATCACGACCCGAGTTGAAGGCAGACACTTAACGGTTGAGCCACCCAGGTGCCCCAATATGAACAATTGTAAATCTATATGTTGGGTACATGGGTATTATATTCTCTGTGCTTTTTTTATGTTTAGAATGCCATTAGATTATTAAACTCCAGGGTAATTTATGACTGCCTAGGAATAGGAGATCTCATATAGCTTTCCATCCATTTACTGGGTTCTCAGTCTAAGAAGGATGACTTTTCAAGATAGAGGAGCATCATTCTTTCATCAAGTGTATAGATACAGCCACTCTGGAAAACAGTGTGGAGGTTCCTCAAAAAGTTAAAAATAGAGCTACCCTATGACCCAGCAATTGTGCTACTGGACATTTACCCCAAAGATACAGATGTAGCAAAAAGAAGGGCCATATGCACCCCAATGTTCATAGCAGCAATGTCCACAATAGCCAAACTATGGAAAGAGCTGAGATGCCCTTCAACAGATGAATGGATAAAGAAGATGTGGTCCATATATACAATGGAATATTACTCAGCCATCAGAAAGGATGAATACCCAACTTTTGCATTAACATGGATGAGACTAGAGGAGATTATGCTAAGTGAAATAAATCAAGCAGAGAAAGTCAATTATCATATGGTTTCACTTATTTGTGGAAAATAAGGAATAGCATTAGGAGAAGGAAGAGAAAAATGAAGGGGGGGATTCAGAGGGGGAGACGAGCCATGAGAGACTGTGGACTCTGGGAAACAAACTGTGGGTTTTAGAGGGGAAGGGGGTGGGGGGATGGGTTACCCTGGTGATGGTTATTAAGGAGGGAACATATTGCTTGGAGCACTGGGTGTTATACACAATGAATCCTGTAACACTACATCAAAAACTAATGATGTAATGTATGGTGACTAACATAACCAAAAAAAATAGATACATATTACAAATACCCATCACCTTTTCACTCTTTTGGGGGAGAGTCTCTGAGGAACAGAAGTTATTAATTTTAATTAAATCAAATTTATCTATCTTTAAACAAAAGTATATAGAAACACATTTGTTCCTTTCCCAGACTGCCAATAAATATGAAGAAAATAGAAATGATTTAGAAGAGAATTATAAAATTATAAATGTTTGGATTTTTTAGAATGGGAAAAAACATTAGGTGGCAATTTCATAGTAATTTATATGAAAATATGAAGTTTTAATCTCAAAAGTAATAACTAGGTGGTTTGGCAGGTGGGAGGTTTGGGGATCCAGAGAAGCACTCCTATCTTTTGAATACATACTATTACCGTGTCATATACTGCAAAGAGCTTCTGTCGTCTCATTTTTATCTCTTGCCCATTTATATAGGCCTCATCTCTCTATTATAAATTAGGAACTCAGAGCTTTTAAGAAAAAACAATATATGTAGTATTGCCAATAGTACTGCTAAAAGAAAATATTATAAAGTGTAACAAATTTTTTAGGTTGTAAGGAGAAATGTTTACTAATGGTGAAAACTCTAAGCATTGTGGTTGCTCACCTACGAAAATTTACCAACTTCTTTTCCTTCTCTGGAAGCATTAAGCTTATTTTTGTGATGGTTTAAGAATGATTCTACCCAAAGGTGGAGGAGAAGGACCTCATGAGCTTGCAAAGTTTCTTCTAAGATCCTATACTTTGGTATGTTTGTGATCTCAAAAGTGTCCTTATTTATTTCCTTTTCTCAAGGTGGACGATATAAATGCAGCTGTGATGGATTTGAAAGAGAAGAAGATTCGTAGTCTAAGTGAAGAGGCCAAAATAGGAGCACATGGAAAGCCAGTGATTTTTCTGCATCCTAAAGACTGTGGTGGTGTTCTTGTGGAATTGGAGCAAGCTTGATTTATATTTGCAAGAAACTTTAAAAATCCCCACCAAAATATCTAAAAATCCCCATTGAATTATAGTCCAGCATTGAATCCTGCACTCCTTCCATCACTTAAGAGTTCACAATTAAAGGGGCACCTGACTGGCTCAGTCAGTGACTCTTTATCCCAGGGTTGTGAGTTCAAGTCTCACGTTGGGTGTGGAGATTACTTAAAAATAAAATCTTTTAAAAGAAGTTCATAATTAAAAGCTAAATTACAGGGGTGCCTGGGTGGCTCTGTCGATTAAGTGTCTGCCTTCGGCTCAGGTCATGATCCCAGGGTCCTGGGATCAGGCCCCACGTCAGCCTCCCTGCTCAGCGGGGAGTCTGTTTCTCTCCCTCTGCCCCTCCACCCGCTTGTGCTCTCTCTCTTTCTCTCTCTCTCTCTCAAATAAATGGATAAAATCTTTTTTTAAAAAAAGCTAAATTACAGAAAGAGATTTTAAATTGTATATATGTATAATAAATATCAATATATATAATTGACATATTTGGTAATTACTTTGGGTTTTTTCTGATTTGGAGGAATCCTTGATTATTAAATACTTAGGGAATATTATTAAAATCATAAAAATAAATTATTCTTGTCCAAAATGGGGTCATTGACTACAGTATGTTACTGTGTGAAAAAGTGTATCTGCACATGTGCACATGTGTATGTGAGTTGGGGTGGAGTTAGGAAAGGGTGCTTGACAGCTGCATAGCTACATATTTGGGGCAGAGTGCTTTCTGAGGATGTCATGGAGAGTTTTTTACACCAACTTTGAGGTTAAGGAGTTTCGACCTCAATGTTTTTGCTCTTCTACAACAATTCTTGTTCACAGGTTCCATATGGGCAGGTATTTTGGGTGCTAGTGCTAGATATATGAATATGAAGTTTTGTGGAAAACTTCATTCATGATCTAGTGAGTGCATAGGTAGCTGAATTTTTTTATTCTTTACTTAAATTCAGTTTAGTTAATATATACTGTATTACTGGTTTCAGGGGTAGAATTTAGTGATTCATCAGTTGCATAGAACACCCAGTGCTCATGACATCAAGTGCCCTCCTTAATGCCCATCATCCAGTTACCCCATCCCCCCACCCACATTCCCTCCAGCAATGCTGTTTGTTTCCTAGAGTTCAGCATCTCCTACGGTTTGCTTCCCTCACTATTTTCATCTTATTTTTTTTCTTCACTTCGCATATTTTCATCTGTTTTGTTTCTTAAATTCTACATATGAGTGAAACCATATAATTGTCTTTCTATGATTGAATTCTTTCACTTAGCATAAAACCCTCCAGTTCCATCCACATCATTGCAAATGTTACGATTTCTTCCTTTTTGATGGCTGAGTAATATTCCATTGCATATATCTATACCACATCTTCTTTATCCATTCATCTGTTGATGGACATCTGGGCTCTTTCCATGGTTTGGGTATTACGGACATTGCTGCTATAAACATTGGGGTTCAGGTGCCCCTCCAGATCACTATGTTTGTATCCTTTGGGTAAATACCTAGTAGTGCAATTGCTGGGTCATAGGGTAGCTCTATTTTTAACTTTTTGAGGAACCTCCACACTGTTTTCCAGAGTGGCTGTACCATCTGGCATTCCCACCAACAGTGTAAGAGGGTTCCTCTTTCTTCACATCCTTGCCAACATCTCTTGTTTCCCAAGTTGTCAATTTTAGCCATTCTGACCAGTGTGAGGTGGTATCTTACTGTGGTTTTGAGCTGTATTTCCCTGATGCTGAGTGATGTTGAACATTTTTTCATGTGTCTGTTGGCCATTTGTATGTCTTCTTTGGAGAAATGTCTGTTTGTTTCTTCTGCTTATTTCCTGACTGGATTATTTGGTTTTTGGCTATTGAGTTTGGTAAGTTTTTTTAATAGATTTTGGATACCAACCCCTTATCAGATAAGTTATTTACAAATATCTTCTCCTATTCTGTAGGTTGCCTCTTAGTTTTATTTTTTTATTTTTATTTTTTTGCCTCTTAGTTTTATTGATTGTTTCCTTTGCTGTGCAGAAGTTTTTTTTATCTTGATGAAGTCCCTATAGTTCATTTTTGCTTTTGTGTCCCTTGCCTCCAACGACGTGTCTAGTAAGAAGTTGCTACAGCGGAGGTCAAAGAGGTTGCTGCCTGTGTTCACCTCTAGGGTTTTGATGGTTTCCTGTCTCACATTTAGGTCTTTCATCCATTTTTAATTTATTTTTGGTATGGTGTAAGAAAGTGGTCCAGTTTCATTCTTCTGCATGTGGCTGTCCAATTTTCCCAACACCATTTGTTGAAGAGACTGTCTTTTTTCCATTGAACATTCTTTCCTGCTTTGTTAAAGATTAGTTGACCATAAAATTGAGGGTCCATTTCTGAGTTCTCAATTCTGTTCCATTGATCTATGTGTCTGTTTTGTGCCAGTACCATACTGTCTTGATGATTATAGCTTTGTAACAGAGCTCGAAGTCCGGAATCGTGATGCTTCCAGGTTTGGTTTTCTTTTTCAACCTATCTATGGTTATTTGGGGTCTTTTCTGGTTTCATACAAATTTTAGGATTGTTTGTTCCAGTTCTGTGAAAAATGTTGATATTTTGATAGGGATTGCATTGAATGTGTAGATTGCTTTGGGTAGTATAGACATTTTAACATTTAACAATGTTTGTTCTTCCAATTCATGAGCATGGAATGTTTTCCCATTTCTTTTTGTCCTCTTCAATTTCTTTCATAAGTGTGCTATAATTCTCAGAGTACAGATCCTTTACCTCTTTGGTTAGGTTTGCTCCTAGGTATCTTATAGTTTCTGGTGCAATTGTAAATGGGATTGTTTCCTTGATTTCTCTTTCTTCTGCCTCATTGTTAGTGTATAGAAATGCAACAGATCTCATCTACAGCCATACCACCCTGAACACGCCCAATCTCATCTGATCTCAGAAGCTAAGCAGGGTCTGGCCTGGTTAGTACTTGGATGGGAGAAATGCAACAGATCTCTGTACATTGATTTTATATTCTGCGACTTTACTAAATTTCTGTATGAGTTCTAGCAATTTTTGGGTGGAGTCTTTTGGGTTTTCTACATAGAGGATCATGTCATCTGAAAGTAGAGTTTGACTTCTTTGCTGATTTGGATGCCTTTTATTTCTTTTTGTTGTCTAATTGCTGAGGCTAGGACTTCTAGTACTGTGTCGAACAACAGTGGTGAGAGGAAATCCCTGTCGTGTTCCTGACCTTAGGGGAAAACCTCTCAGTTTTTCCCATTGAGGAAGATATTTGCTCTGGGTTTTTCATATATGGCTTTTGTGATATTGAGGTATATTCCCTTTATCCCTACATGGCAGGGAGTTTTTATCAAAAAAGGATACTGTAGGGTTGCCTGGGTGGCTCAGTTGGTTAAGCATCTGCCTTCAGCTCAGGTGATGATCCGAGGATCCTGGGATTGAGCCCTGCATCAGGTTCCCTGCTCAACGAGGCGTCTGCTTCTCTTTCTCCCTCTGCCCCTCTCTTCCACTTGTGCTCTCTCTCGTGCACTTTCTCTCTCTCTCAAATAAATAAATTCTTTTTAAAAAGGAAAGGATGCTGTTATTTTGTTCAATGCTATTTCTACATCTATTGAGAGGCTCATATGGTTCTTATCCTTTCTTTTATCAATGTGGTGTATCACATTGATTGATTTGTGGACATTGAACCACCCTTGCAGCCCAGGAATAAATCCCACTTGGTTATGGTGAATGATTGTTTAATGTACTGTTGGATCCTATTAGCTAATATCTTACTGAGAATTTTTACAACCATGTTCATTACAACCAGGGACATTGGGCTGCAATTCTTTTTAGTGGGATCTTTGTCTGGTTTGGGGAATCAAGATAATGCTGGCCTCTAGAATGAGTTTGGAGGTTTTCCTTCCATTTCTATTTTTTGGAGCCGTTTCACAAGAATAAGTATTAATTCTTCTTAACTGTTTGGTAGAGTTCCCCTGGGGAGCCATCCTGCCCTGGAATCTTGTCTGTTAGATTTTTTATTACTGCTTCAATTTCTTTGCTGGTTATGAGTCTGTTCAGGTTTTCTATTTCTTCCTGTTTTAGTTGGGTAGTTTATGCATGTCTAGGAAGGCATCCATTTCTTCCAGATTGCCTAATTTGTTGGCATATAATTGCTCATAATATTCTCTTATAATATTTTCTATTTCTTCAGTTTGGTTCTGATCTCTCCTCTTCATGGTTTTATTTATTTGGGTCCTTTCTCTTTTCTTTTTGATAAGTCTGGCTAGGGGTTTATAGGTCTTATTAATTCTTTCAAAGACCTAGCTCCTAGTTTCATTGATCCATTCTACTGGTTTTTAAAATTTCTGTATCATTGATTTCTGCTTTAATCTTTATTATTTCTCTTCAGCTGGATTAGGCTTTATAGCTCCTGTAGGTATAAAGTTTGGTTGTGTATTTGAGACTTTTCTTGTTTCTTAAGAAAGGCCTATATTTCAATATACTTCCCTCTTAGGACCGCCTTTGTTGCATCCCAAAGGTTCTGAACTGTCGTGTTTCATTTTCATTTGCTTCCATGTATTTTTAAATTTTTCCTTAATTTCCTGGTTGACCCATTTATTCTTTAGTAGGATGCTCTTTAACCTCCATCTATTTGTGGTCCTTCCAAATTTTTTCTTGTAGTTGACTTCAAGTTTCAAAGCATTGTGGTCTGAAAATATGCAGGGAATAATCTCATTCTTTTGGTACCAGTTGAGACCTGATTTGTGACCCTGTATGTGATCTGTTCTGGAGACTGTTTCATGTGCACTCAAGAAGAATGTGTCTTCTGCTGCTTTAGGATGCAATGCTCTGAATATATCTGTTAAGTCCATCTGGTCCAGTGTGTCATTCAAAGCCCTTGTTTTCCTTGTTGATCTTCTGCTTAGATGATGTGTCCATTGCTGTGAGTGGGGTGTTAAAGTCCCCTAATATTACTGTTATCAATGAGTTTTTTAATTTTGTTATTAATTGGCTTATATATTTGGCTGCTTCCAAGTTAGGGACATAAATATTTACAATTGTTTGATCTTCTTGTTGGAAGACTCTTTTATTATGATATAGTGTCCTTCATTTCTTATTACAGTATTTGGTTTCAAATCTAGTTCATCTGATACAAGGATTGATATTGCATCTTTCTTTTGATGTCCATTGTCATGATAATCGTTCTCCATCCCCTCACT